CCACGGGGTGGCCCTTCTATATATTTTGAGTGGCCCCATGTGCCGGCCTCCTCCCGGACCCCAAGCGTAAAAAAAACCGACCCCCCCCCCCCCCCCCACGCTAACTACGCAGTCGTCTTCAAGCTTCAGTGGTTAAGGATGTTTGCTCAGTGTTTTACCTTCAGGCTCCAATCATCGCAAAAGTACATATAAAACGGGGCAAGGGGAGTCCATTCTACTTTTATTTTTAGCCATTACAGACGACCACTGAATGACCTCGAACTTGCTACTTCTTGGTTGTTGGGAAAACAATGTGTTCTGTGTGCCGTACGGCCTGGCAAACAATGTATTCTGTGTGCCGTAGGCCTGGCAAACAATGTGTTCTGTGTGCCGTACGGCCTGGCAAACAATGTGTTCTGTGTGCCGTACGGCCTGGCAAACAATGTGTTCTGTGTGCCGTACGGCCTGGCAAACAATGTGTTCTGTGTGCCGTAAAGCCTGGCAAACAATGTGTTCTGTGTGCCGTAAGGCCTGGCACACAATGTGTTATGTGTGCCGTAAGGCCTGGCAAACAATGTGTTCTGTGTGCCGTAAAGCCTGGCCCACAATGCTTTCTGTGCGCCACACGGCCGGTATTTGTAGAGCTAATGAAACCAGAGAAAAGTAAATATCCGACACGCTGACTCTTCGACCATCCGACTTTTTAACTCCATCTCTTTGACTCTCTGACTCTAAGGCATTCTCCGAGTCTGTGTCCTTGTAAAATCCTCCCATGTTTGCTAAGGAAGGACCCATATAGAAGAACCTATCATGGGCTCTATGCTAATGCACTGCGTGTTAATCTGCATGGTCTAGGGAGCCAGCTTATCTTCCTAAATAAAAAGAAAATCCCAGACCTTCTCATTTCACCCTGCAAAGTCTACACCCTTCTCACATTGTCACGCACGAGGGCCAAAAAAGAAAAATAACTGCATAATTTTGTAATTTTGGCATCATTTAAAGCGTTTTCCCCGCTTTCGTCCAAAAGTTACACTGTTTGCTCACAAAAGCTTTCAAATCTTTTCATTTAGAACCAATATAATCGATCTAAGTTCAAATCATTACTTCTCATCTATTACAAAATAACCAATCAGTGAAGTTAAGCAGTTATAATGAATGCCGACACGTGACTCTACCCCCCTCCTCCCACAAGCTTCTCCTCAGTTCCTACGTCATACTGCACGGCATGAGGTCATCGCCTTCCATCGATCACACCTTCATGTCCGGAATCCGTAGAGTAGGCATCATACAGGTGGGCAGGGCCTCCATGGGACAATGCATTGTCACCAAGGCATTTGTGGGCTACTGCCAGAACAGGTGAGCTCATTTAACAGGGGTCATCTAAGAGTGTCACGTGATCGTTAGAACAAACAAAATAATTTTGTATTTAAAAAAAAAAAGCCAATGTTCTTAAAATGTTCGTCACTTGTAATAAGAAATAGGGTTATCGGAAACTTGTACGAAAGAAATTTGTTTGTCCGAAATTTGTTCAAACGGAATTTTTTGGGGGGAAACAAGAATAACATAATTGTTTAAAAGTTTAGACTTTCTCCATTTCTCACCCGCAACTTCCCTTTAGAAAAAAAAATTTACAAGATAGATTTTAAAAAATCTGCGTTCAAATAAGAACTTCATTCCAATAAACTTCCTTTTGAACAGACTTCCTTTTGAACAGACTTCCCTTTGAACCTTTGAACATACTTCCTTTTGAATAGACTTCCTTTTGAAAATACTTGCTGTTGAACAGACTTCCTTTGAACAGACTTCCGTTTGAACAGATTTCCGTTTGAAAAGACTTCCTTTCGCAACATAATTTTTTTAAACAGACTTCCTTTTGAACAGACTTTCGTTTGAACAGACTTCCGTCCAACAACTTTCCGTCAAATTAAATTCTTCAGTACACATTTGAGGATTCGATTGAACCTATGTAGTGTCATTTATGCTTCTTATAAAAAAAATTTAAAAACTCTTCGCGGCCCTGACTGTATAAAAGAAACGTGATCACGTCACTCCCCTACTTCACTCATACCATTGGCTCCCCATACATGCACACATTGACTACAAGCTGTCTGTTCTCCGGCACAACGTTTCTTCTGGTTCCTGCCCTTCCTATCCTACTGGACTTCTTAATGTCTATTTGTGACAAATGATCTGATGACACGAACGACGCACACTGATGACAGCATCAACACAAACAACCGCACCTCCGAGAGACTGGCTGCTTTCGAATATCTAAGAATGGCTATAAATTAGCACAAGGAAAAAATATCGACGTTGAAACAAAGGAGAACAGCAGGCAACCGTTCTTACTTCACCCTGCGATAGCCGCTCGGAAGCAACAACAACAACAAAAACAACAACAAAAACAACAACAAAAACAACAACAAAAATCTCAAGGAGAACAAATAAAGTTAAATTCACACCTATCGTAAGACCGGTTGTAACTTACGCAAGTGAGACTTAGTCCCTTACCAAAAAAAAAAAGCAAAAAAAAAAAAAAAAAAAACAAAAAAAAAATTTAAAAAGAAAAAAAAAAAAAACAAAAAGAAAAAAAAAAAAAAAAAAAAAAAAAAAAAAAAGCAGAGAAACATTTTAATAGGTGAGATTGAAAAATCCAGAGGTAAAAAGAGAATGCAGCCGTGAGAACGCTGCCCCTAGGCAACCGTTTCGTCCCAGCTACAGCGTGAACTAGTCGCGTTGTGGAAACCCACTGTGGAATCCCTCTTATAGGGCGTCCGACGCTTTCCCCGGATGGGTGGGGGAAGATAAATGTACGTCCCAACTCCTAGAGAAAGTCGATCGAGTGCACTGTTTAAACGCATAGTGTCGGATCGACCGGGTGCCTCCTCGTTGGGGCGGCCCCCAGGCGGGGTCCTGGTCGAGCGCCCAGGCGCCCAGGTGGGGGATTTGGGTGAGGGGCCCGTGTGGGGGCCGTCCTGACGAGTGGGCATCTCCAACGTGCCA